AGACCCTGTTTCAAAATAAAAAAGTGTAAAAGGACTGGGGATGTAGCTCAGTGCAAAGGCTTTGGGTTCAATCCTCAGTACCACCCAAAAAACATAAACGAAAAAAAAAACCAACTAAAATATATTGGGATCCTGTCTTCCCTGTCCCATTGGCACTGGTCAAACATTTGTCCACACCCTGTGTTGGGAGTGGGCAAATGCAAAGGCCTGACTATCTGAAGCCTGAACTTGCGCCATCCTGATAGGGCAGTCTGAGGGCATCACGAGCTCCAGATGCATGGCCCTGGAACCCAGCAGTTCTGGTTCCAGCAAGTTTTCCGGTGGGTTGACTTACATGTGACAGGATTGTCATGCTCAGGGCTATTCATTATGACTCTCCTACAATAAATAGAGCTAAAGGAGAAACTATCAGTAGCATTTGGTGCCTCCCAGGAGTGGAACTTGGGGGCTGAGACAGGTGGGAAGGGGACTTGAGTGTCTCCATTTGTGCTGTTGCAGCTGTCTTGATGCCCTGTATCAGTTCAAAATGTTCATCTTCTATGGTCATTTCGACTCTGGGGAAGAGCCAGAGGTTGCATGGTGCCAGATCCAGTGAATTCAGTGGATGAGGACACAGCGTCACATTTTTATGAGCCTGCCTTGCCATTGGTTGGTATTTGTCAATAACATTCATTGTGTTTGTTTAAATCACACTATGTAAAAACATGAAAGGGGACTTCCAGAACTACTTCAGAAAGTAGCAAGAATGATGGGATAAGTGTATTCAAAGTAAGGGGAGTATTTTGAGGGCAGCGTGTCTTTTACTGTAATAAACTTTTTAAGATTTCCCAGCTATATTGTTTATTCCCTGCTTGAAACAAGCTTATCTTTTTAATAGCACAATGTTTATTGGAACATTTTATGCGTACATGATGATAACACTCATCATAGGGAATTTCCACCTGTGTGGTATATCCGCTTCTTTTTTCCCATTCCCCTCCCTTCAAATCCCCTCCCATCCCTATGTGCAAAAGCTTTGTTTCCATTTTTGTTTCTTTCTTCCTCTCTCCCTCCCTCTTTCCTTGCTCCCCTTCCCATGTGAACATTTTTTTTCCATTTCCCAATATCTGTTACACATTTTAGTCCTTATTTCCGCTTTCAGTTTCTCACACCAGAGAAACAATGCAATATTTAAACATGAGGGTCCAATTTTTTTCACTTAAGAGTATGGTCTCGAGGTCCATCCATTTAACTATAAGTGTCTGAAGCTCATCCTCTTTAAGGCAGAGTAGTACTCCATTATATAAAAAACTACATCTTCTTTTACTGTGATAAATTTTAAAAATTTTAAACGTTCACCATATATTCTGATCACCCCTTGTATGTGTTCCCCTAAGGCAGTGGTGGTGAACCCATGGCATGTGTGCCACAGCAGGCTGTTTGTATCATTGAAAGCTCCAAAAGGTTCACCATCACTGCCCTGAGCTGTACAGTTGTCAAGTAAATGCAGCAATAAAATCATTGAAAGATAAGTAAAGATTTTCATATACACAAAGCTAAGAGATTTTATTACCACGGACATTTTCCAGGAGAACAACTTAGTGTTTTCAGCAAAAACAACAAACACAGACCTACATCAGAAGGCAAGGGCAACTGGGAAGATGAGTGAGGTCAAAAATTGTGACCATGTCATTGACTGTTGACCATAAAGAAGTACAGTGGTACCTCGGCTCACAAACTTGATTCTTTCCGTGATTCTGTTCCTAATCCGAGTTGGATGAGAACTGAATCAAATTCAGTGGTTAGGTTCAGTGATGTCCTTATGGGGACATTTGATTCAGTTCTCATCCAGTTTAATTTGTGACCAGAATCACGGAGAGAATTGAGTTCGTGTACTGAGGTGCCACTGTAATCATTCTTGAATGTTGTACAAACTTGAAACCACTGCAGACAAGAGAGCCTTATGGGGATTCCAAGAAGGTGACTTGGGTGGGGGTCCTCTAGAGCACTCTTTCTGGAGGCAGGGATGGACTGGTCTTGACCACAGTCTGATTGAAAGGTGTTTTGTCTGACGAAGGTGCTGGTCACAGCTTCTGTTGTGGGTGGACAGCTATGGAAGTCTTCTGATTTACTTCCACAGTGAAACAAGAGCAAGCCCATTGTAGCGAAAGGGGAGCAGGGATGGTTTGCAGGCAGCATCAAAGACAGTGAGGTGCCTGGCCCTGCACTTGACATGGGTGCGGCTGCCTGGGAGTGGCATGGAGGAGGTGGAATTGCCATGGCAGCCAGCACTGTGGGTTTACTAGCAGAAAGGACCTAGGAAGAAAGGAGCTGTGTTGTGTAGACTTAGGCCGAGGAGGTTCCACTGGACACAGCTGGAACGGAGCAGTGGCAGGTGGGAACAGCAAGATTAAACCAAGCTGAGTGGTATCCTGCAAAAACAGTCCACTTTCTTAGGCTTGGGGCCTCCCAACTCACGATCTGTCCAGTGTAGTTTCCTGAGAATGAGGGTGCTAGTGACTTTCACCAGCAGAGAGTGGACTGCCACCTGCCTTCTCTGTGTCTCCACCTCTCCTGGGATAGGAACCAAAGAGCTGTGCTTCTACATGCTGTGTGCGCCACACATCTGGAGAAGATGGTGAACTGGAGAACCAAATCTGCTGGCCACTCTGTAAAGTGGAACTCACCTGTTCCTTGTAAGGAACCCATCTTTACCACAGCAAGGAGAGTAAATGCCATCATAATAAGCCACATTTTACCCAAAAGAGTATAGAAAATTAGTACTAGCCATTATTATAGATTGCCTGTCACCTTTACTTACAGATGAGCAAACCAAGGCCCAAGGTAACACTGGCTGGCTTTTCCTGGACACCTCTGATGTGACGGTGTTGTCACTTACAGCTGTAAAGTCCTTGTGTGGTTTCCCGCTGGATGACAACTGTCTTCTTGGCATATTGCACTTTGGATTCTTTTTCTCAGATGTCTTGCTGTTTCCCATTGTGTGAGTCATTGTGTGCTTCACTTCATGATACCTTCCACATTCATCCTAATAATTAAGTGAATCATGACATTTCTAATTTCTATTTAACTTTCTTATTAAGGAAAATGTAGCTAATTAAAAGCTTCCAAAAAATTCTATAGAAATGATCAAACATTGATGTTACCCAATAGGGATAGTGTACTTAGAAGTGTGTCTCCATCTGCCCTTGATTTTAGCAGAGAATGACATAATAATTAATCAACTGTGATGAATCAAATTAACATAAGAACTAGAATTCTGGCAACTTAGCTCTAAAAGAATGAAGTATATTGATGACGAAAGAATTTGAAAATGTCCCCAAGGTTTTCATCTTTAATATTTTTACATTTAAACACCTGGGAACACATATTCTATACATGTATTAGTGATTTTGTTCAGTCTTTGTCATCTTTGGTTTTAAAATAAAATGCTCATTCTTAGGCACATTGGGATATCTACATGTGTTTGCCACATACAGGAGAGTCACTGCCATATTTTAAATGAAAATATGAATAGTAAGAAGGTTAATAGTACTCAACATTGAAGAGTAAGAGAGCACCCTCTTGCAGGTGTCCTTCTAGATGGTATTTCCAAAAGGCAGCCAAAGGTTCAAACCATCAGTTCCATTCCTGAGAATTTAACTGAAGGAAATAAATGACCAAATGTGTAAAGGAAGACAACAGCAAGAAGAGTGCAGCAGCTGCTTGTAGCAGGGACTGCATAAGTTCAACCTCCACCTGCGAAATCTATGAGGGTGGTTAAATTGTACCTATATTATGATTTGCCTATGGCATGGAATATTATACAATTGTTAAAAGTATTCTGATCATAATGTATTATTTTATATTCCATTTGAATTATACACATATAAAAATGTGTAATCTATATAAATGTATAAGAAAATACATGTGACACGATCCCATGAAGATATATGTGTCTGTGTATGGGGAGGACATGTACATGTCTGTGGGGGTGTATGTCAGTGTGTGTGTGTGTGTGTATGTGTGCACATATCTGTCTGTGAGGTGCTTGTCTATGGCTCTGTGAGTATGTGGAGGATATGTAGGATACATAGTACATATGGAGTGTGTAATATGTGCCTGTGGGTGTGTATCTGGTTCTGTATGTGTCTGTGTGTTCTGTGGCTTATTTCTAGCTCTGTATGTGGGTTTATATATGCATTGTGAATCCATGTTGTGCACTTGTCTGTGGGTTACATGTCTACCTATGTGTGCATGTATACACACTTCATACTTGTTACGAGTACATGTGGAGCACACACATGTCTGGGAGCATGTCTGGCTCTGAGGAGGTGGTGTGTACACATTGGTGCACTAGATCTTGCAAACGTCTATCTGTGGGTGCCTGCTTGTCTGTGGTTCTGTGTGGGTGTGTATGTGTTGGTGCATATGGAGCATGTGTATGTGTCTTTGGGTACGTGTCTGGCTGTGTGTGTGTACATGTACATGTTATCAGCACATATGGAGAAGCAGTTCAAGAAGATGTTGGCCAAAGTGTTGAAAGATCCATGGTGTGAAAATGAAGGGTGTATTGTGTGGACTGTTTATGTTTTCTGTTATGTTATTCATAAACTAGTTATATTTTATATCATTATGAAAACCCAGATATTTACATCACAAGTAACTTAACGTGAATTTAAATAATCATAAAATGATTCCTTTTGATTCTTTTTTCCTGGCTAGATGTATAGCTATCCTGCTTTTCTGGCAAAATACTTAGCTTGTTAAAATCAGCAGGGCTGGGGATTTAGCTCAGTGGTTCCGGCGCCTGCCTCGCAAGTGCAAGGTCCTGAGTTCGATCCCTGGTACCAAAAAAAAAAAATCAGTATATATGACAGTGGTTAGGTTTTATTCAGCTCTTTTAGTTTTTGTTTCTGTTGCATTTTGTTGGAGAACTGGTACTGATGGAATCAGGGCAAATAAATGGCTGCTTACATTATGTAATATTTACCAGTGCCTGTTGTTTCCTGTTCTCTTTACAGATGGCAGTGACATTAAGGCCCAGCCACATCGCCACCTCTATACTGTGAGTTTGCCTCCTGAGGGCCATGTGCCCTTCTGCCCAGCGCCCAGCACCGGTGCTGATTCTGAGACGGCCTGCAGTGCTGATGATGCAGAAGGTGAAAAGCTAGGCGGGGGGGGGCTCCTTCACCAGATAAATCATGGCTTTTTATTGCTATAAACTCACTGTCCACATTTATAAGAGGGCCTGGGCAGGCTACAGGTGTTCGTAAGAGACTCACGAGACAGAAAAATACCTAGCATGTGGAAGTCGGAATGTTGTTATAGCCCTATCTGTTAATGCATTAGAAGTCTGAAACTAAATCCATCAAAATGTTAGCAGTCCTTATCTTGGTTTGATAGAACTTTTTTCTTGCTTTTATAAATTTTTCAAATTTCTGAAAATGTTATAATCAACGAATTAACTTATTTTTTTCTCTCTTTTGGGAAAACATTGGTCTGTTATCATTGCATTTGTTGCTGCAGGTCTTATGAATCAAAGTAAATAGAGTATTCTAACACTTAATGCAGCTTGCTGTCATTGGGGAAGTATTGATGGTACACATTACATTTTCACCTTAAAATAAAATGTTTGTTTTTCTCCTGACATTGACCATTTGAAAATTTTACTAAGAAGAATTGAGAATCTTCCAATAAGAGTTTTCCCTGGATGATTTTTAGCAAGTAAAAACTAAAAAAGTCTAGACCATAAACCTTAATTTGAATATCAAGAAAATATGGTTTTCTAATAAAAAATGGGAAACTAAGAACTTATTCATCTTTCAACCCCTGTTGAAAATCTTTGAAATATAATTATTAGATAAATAATTTAACTACAAAGTTTAACTGTTCTTATGAAGATAAATTATTTTGTTGTGTACTGAGTTGTTTAATAAGAAATCATGTTGGACTCGCTCATATGCTGTGGTATACAGTTCTCATTTGTGGATCCTTGGTCCAATTAATTCACTCATATGCCTTCGTGCACAGTTAGTTCATTCACCTGCCGTTGTGTGCAGTCAGCTGTTAGGTGCTATTGTAGCCAGTTTGCTCTCAGCCAGGTGCTGCTTTGTACAGTAGGTGCTCATTTGTGTACTTCGGCATACAGTAAGCTCTCACATGCCATAGCACATATGTGTAACTCGTTCACATGCCATTGTGCACCATTGTCTCACACACATGTCGTGCCATGGGTGGGTTTCACCCTGTGCTGTTATACATAGTTGGCTCTCACGTGCTGTTATGCAGTTGCCTTACATGCTGCTTGGTTACACGGTTGGGTGTCGTGCTCTGGTGCGTGTGGTTGACTTACATGCACACAGTTGCTGTGGTGTGCACAGTCAGCTGTCACGCTCTGGTGCATGCAGTGGGCTTTGGTTCTGATGTCCCTGCAGACAGCCTAGATGAAGGTCTTGGTGGAGAAAGCCTCAGTTTGTCATGAACACACAGCACTTCCCACACTGGTTTGTGGGACTGATCTAGGGTGAAATGTTTACAGGAAAGGGAAAGACATTGGTGCTAACCAGACACTGCTCTTACAAAAGCTGTGACGTGAAGACTGAGTGTCTCTGCGCTCTTAGGTAGCTGTCCTCTTCCCATGGCAGGCGGCTGCCTCCTCCAGACAGTCCACTGGGAACAGCTGTGGGCTGCTGGGAGCCAAGTCTAATTGCTCTGAAAAGAGAAACTGAGCAACTAACATTCATTTTTAAATGATAATGGTAAATTCAGTGGTTATGATGTAACTGAATACAACATTATTACAAGTTACATGTTTAGAAGTAGTTCATTAGGTAAAAGGTTTCTGTTAATTCACTTTCTCCTCTATTTCCTGGTTCTTGGGAATTGTAAATGTGGTTTCTTCTGTTTTCAGAGGAAAACAGTAAGTGATGGGCCCTGCCAGGGAGTGGGTGGGCCAGGGCCATGGAGCTCAGCAGCAGTCTGGGCCCTTGTTGGTTGATTCTCTAAGTTGGGAGCAACACCCAGACCTTCATGCCACCTCTGTGTTCACACTGCTTGGTGCTGTTCAGAGGGTAGGCATAGTAGCACTTGATAGATAACCAGAGGGTGCTTTAGAGCCTAGATGGCCACTGTCTGCCTTGTTCAGGGCTCCCATAAGAGGGCCCGGTAGGTTTTGTTTTGGGGTTTATTTTTTTTGGTTCCGGGGATCGAACTCAGGTCCTTGTGCAGCAGGCAACAAAAACCACTGAGCTAAATTCCCCGCCCAGGGCCTGGTAGTTTTGATAGATCAAAATGAACTGAAAACATTTACCCAGTTTTTCAGAACAGCTCTGAAACTGAACTTAGAAATCAGAGCCAGCCTGAGAGGTTGCTGTCTTTCAAGTTTGAATGCTTATAATTCATCTCCACATGTTCTGATTTGCTTTTTTTACTATCTAAGTACGCTTTTTATTCAAAACTCCAAGAAATGAGCCACTGAAGGGCATGTGAAATGATGTGGTTGGAGAAAAGGTATGAATCATCACTGTTTACTCATGTTATCTACATCTGCCTCCAAAATGAAAGAGTATGTAGAGTCCTGACCCAGACTACATCAGCCTGGGGTGAGATCAGATGAGCAACTCCCATGTCTGCTGCCTTCCGGGGCCCCGAGGCCTTGAGAGATGCATAGGAGCCTGTGGCAAGAAGAGGCAAGGACACTCCAAGGGTCATGTAGGAACAAGTTGTAGAGACCTCAAGTGGAAAAGAAGGGACAGTTTCCAGATTTCTCTAGCTGCAATTGTTTAAACTAACAGAACATGAGGCCTAAAGTTGCCAAAGAAGAAAAGGTCTGATTCTCCCTCTTTTCAGAGAAGCACTTCCAGTTGTTGGCTTTGATTTTGGATTGCCAGGAACAACTTATCTACTGGATGGTAACTTCTAGAAGAGTGCAGGAGACAGGGCCCTGCTCATGTTTACCTTTGCTGATACCATCTGTGCCAATCCCCCTCCTCGGTGCCTCTAGGCTGGCACGAGGGGCTCAGGCTCATTGCCCTTGGGCTGCACTGCTCAGGTATAGGACTAGGCCTGGCCTTTACATCCACACCTGGCTTCCTTGTGGTGTTCTTGACTCTGACTCAGTCTCTCATCACCTCTAGGAAGCTATTCCTGAACTCCAAGTCTGGGCCACTCTGTAATAGCGCTTGAGAGATGCCCCATCTTTGCATCTGTCCCTGAGCTCCATTAGGCTGGAGCCATGTTCTTTGTCTCATTGTCAGTGGTGCTTGGCCCAGTGCCTTGTGAAAAGTCGGATTTTGTGGATTTTAACCATATCAGTTAGCTTGCTCCAGGATCTGTATAGCATGATGATGAAGTCAGGACCCAAGTAGCACTCATGTGTCCCACTCTGTGTCCTGCCTCTGTTTTGTTCTTTGGGGAATCTCTAGATGTATTTCTCTGGATGTTCTTTGAGGAATCTCTGGAAGTTCTTTCAGGCTTGCAGTTTGTTGGTAACAGGCTGAATTCTACAAGACATTTAAAGAGGAACTATTGCCATTACTCTTTAAACTCATCAGGGAAATTGAAAAGGAAGCAATACTTCCAAATTCATTTCTGGAAGCAAGTGTTACTTTGATTCCAAAACCCGAGAAAGACCGAACCCAAAAAGAGAACTACAGGCCAATCTCCCTAATGAACATAGATGCAAAGATCCTCAACAAGATACTGGCAAACAGAATACAGAGGGTCATCAAGAAGATCATACACCCTGACCAAGTCGGATTCATCCCAGGATGCAAGGATGGTTCAACATCTGTAAATCAATAAGTATAATACACTGTATTAACAGGGTCAAGGGCAAAAACCATATGATCATCTCAATAGATGCAGAAAAGGCATTCGACAAAATCCAACATCCATTCATGATAAAAACCCTACAGAACATTGGAATAGAAGGTCTTTATCTCAACCTGATTAAGGCTATCTGTGAAAAACCAACAGCCAATATCATACTAAATGGTCAAAAACTGAAACTTTTCACGCTAAAATCAGGAACAAGACAAGGATGCCCACTATCACCACTCCTGTTCAATATTGTTCTGGAAACATTAGCCTCATGAATTAGAAAAGAGAAAGAAATAAAAGGAATAAAGATAGGAAAGGAAGAAGTTAAACTGTCATTATTTGATGACAATATGATACTTTACATAGAAGACCCAAAAAACTCCACCAAAAGACTTCTAGACCTAATTGACAGATTCAGTGGAGTGGCTGGATACAAGGTCATCACTCAAAAAACAATAGCTTTCTTATACACAAATAACAGACTCACTGAGAGAGAAATTAGAGAAACAATTCCTTTTACAATAGCATCCAAAAAAATGAAATAGCTAGGAATCGATCTAACAAAGGAAGCAAAAGACCTCTACACTGAAAACTATAGCACTCTGAAAAAAGAGATCGAAGAAGATATAAGAAAATGGAAAGATAGCCCTTGCTCCTGGGTAGGAAGAACCAATATAGTGAAATTGGCCATACTTCCAAAACTACTGTATAGATTTAATGCAATGCTGATTGAAATTCCAACAATATACTTCACAGAATTAGAGAAAACAATCCAAAAATTCATTTGGAACCAGAAGAGACCTATAATAGCAAAGGCAATTCTAGGCAACAGAGACATGGCAGGGGGTACTGCAATCCCCAACTTGAAACTATACTACAAAGCTACTATGATAAAAACAGCATGGTACTGGCAAAAAGAAAAACAGACCAGAGGATCAGTGGAATAAACTAAAAGATACAGAAACAACTCCAGACATACTCAGCCACCTCATCTTTGACAAAGCACCCAACCACCCTTATTGGAGGAAAGGTAGCCTATTTAATAAATGGTGTTGGAAAAACTGGATCTCATCCTGCCAAAGATGAAAACTAGATCCATACCTATCACCTTGCACTAAACTAAGATCAAAGTGAATAAAAGATCTAAATATTAAAACAGAAACACTAAACTTGCTAGAAGATAAGTTAGATACAATTCTTGAAGACATTGGCATAGGAAAAGACTTTATGAACAAAACCTCAGAAGCACAGGAACTAGCACAAAGAATCAATAAGTGGGATCTCATCGTTTTCAAAAGCTTCTGCACTGCAAGAGAAACCATCCACAGAGCTAAGAGAC